AGGATCTCGTAAAAATACAATGTAATGGTGATATATAATGACGCGAGTAATAAAATCGAGGCACAGGAACCAAAATAAAAAGAACTATCAAAACAGGAGACGAAGCGAAAACAAAAGAGTGAGATGGTAAAACGTGCCTCTTAAACCCTGTATTTCATGTTGCTGCGAGGTTGATGTCCCTATGTTAATTCAAGATCAGCGCAGGTGTTTGCTTTCTAATTTCTTTTTTATCAACTTCTTTTACTTTGTTTGTTCTTTACTACTTACTTCCCTTCACTTATTTCTTTTACACCATCTTCTTTTGTTGGTCCTTTTTTTTAGAACGACCTCACAGTTTAATATCATGGCTGTCTTTAAATGCGCACGGCCTTGTCATTTTCAGTGTAGTTCCCTCATGCAAAGTAAATATTTAAGTTCTCCAATTAAGAATAAAAAAATACACCACTTATCAAAACGACTAATAGAATAAATTAACTTAATCTAAAATTAAATTGCAATGACATATATTAACTTAATACTGATCATTACTTAATATAAAATAATTAGTCAGTTAAAACAAATATAACCTTTTTAATTACAAGTAGAAAAAAAAAAAACAAGTTAGGCTAATTTACTCAAATGAATATGTAAAATGAACGAAAAATAGAATTACTTGCTAACAACCATCTATATCTGATAAAGGTATTTTTGTTTCGATTTAAATAGATACGACCTCTACCGTTTGTCAATTTGGAATCGGTGACTCTAGAAAAAAGTTCTTATGCTCACTAAACCTAATCACAGAGCTCAAAGTCATTCAACAAAGGTCCAGTTTGTTGTTCTTAACAATTATTTGTAAGATATTGAAAAAAAAAAAACTGTTGAATTAATGATTCTCATTGGATACTAAAAAGAACGATTTTACTAACTTTTAGGAAACTCGAGTTTACAATGATAATTAAATCGTAAGCAAAACATGAAGGAGGGAAGTTTTGAAATCGTATAGATCTTTAGTGAAAAATAAATAATAAGTTAAGAAAAGAAAACAAGTTTATTACTACCGATCCATTTTAAATTTTTCAATTTGGCGGTTAACTGTTGTTTGTATAGCAGCCAGTTCGTCCTGTAAGATAATCACTAGTAAAAAAACAAATGGAAAAAAACAGTTGAAAAATAACAGATTTATCTAGAAATACATAACTAGGACCGCTTGGAGAAACTACCCAACGGTACCTCTCCTTAAATAGCATTGCAGAAATTGAGGAAGCAGTGTAGAATGTACATAAGAACTGGCATAGAGTTCGAAGGCCGTTGAACCGAAGTGAGAAGATAATTACAGCTTTGAAGAGGATACTCGACACCACCAGAGCTGTACATCGTTATGTCTTAGCCGTCGTTACAATTAGCCAAGTCGGGACAGGATATGGTTAGCACCCGAGGGGATGCTTCCTCCCTCCTCAGGTTCAATGCAACGCCCCAATATCAATTGGGTACATGTGTGAACTTTCAATTTTGGTTGTCGTTGAAGTTTAGGTTATTACAATACAATTTAAAAGGTCCCGAATTTTTCTTATGCATATTTCCAAAAAATTTAGCGTTAAAGAAAATTGAAGGGGGCACACTAAGTCATAAGCTACATTATGGAACGCCAGCGTTTAACTCATAGCGCTGGGTCTCTTGTAAGTTTTAGCAAGACGTTTTATTATCAGTTTCTGTACTGTTATTAGAAAAAAATTCTTTAAATTAAAGTTCTTAGTGACTTTTTTGTAAAAAAAAGTTCTATGTTTATGTAGTTAAACTTTATTTAATTTATTACAATGTTCAAGTGACAGAATTTTGTAATATTCAATTAATATATTTTTTAATTTATTAAAAAAAAGTTACGTTAAATGAGAAATAAACAGTAAATGGGCTTCGAACACAGTTATGATTTATTTTAAATGAATTACTTGTTTCTAATGTGCCGTTTGTTTGAATTGCAGAGAATAAATGTCATTCCTTAGATAGAATTTTTGGATAAATCAATAAAACTTTTAAATAAAAGTTAATTTTTTTTTTTATCTTTAACTATTTATCCGCACCTGTCATCGTATTGACAATCAGCAGATGTGTTGTTGGCATAATGAGGTTGGCATTATAGGCATGAGGAAGGATAGTACCCAGCAGTACCTCTTCCTGGTCATTACTTTGATTTAGGCGATGAGATCTCTCATCCAGCTCCTTTCAAGTCTCCTCCTGATGGGCATGTCAGTCGTAGCCATGTCGTTTATAAGTCTGTTTGTGTGTCCGTGTAGTTTGAGATGAAAACGAGAGTAGAGAGTACGTATGTGTTGGTCGATAGTTGGTTGTCGTAAGTCGTTATGTAAAGTTTTGTTGTTAACGTACCAGGGAGCTCCTGTTATAAGTCGTAAAATTATGGATTGAAATGACTGTAGTTTTTGTAAGTGCGTCTTTTTTGTCGAACCGTAAATCTGAGAGGCGTATGTCCAGATGGGTTTGAGTAGGTAAGTGTATGTATTTAGTTTTTGTCGAACTTTCAATTTCGATTTAGAAAAAAGTGAGTACAGTATTTTCAGTCGCTTGTTTAAGGTCTGTCGTTTTATTTTGACGTGTGGGTTTAATTTAGAATAAAGATTCCAGGTTTCAGATTTAAAATAGAGAGTTTAAATTTAATTTTAAACTCTACTTCAATCCTTATAATAAGGATTAAGTAAAGCCCCTGTCCCTCTAAAACAAAGTGGCTGCTGGGCCTAACTAGCAAAGAAATCCGACTCATCATCGGAGTACTAACAGAACTTCATACGAAGACCAAAACGGTTTGAGACAGAATAGAGGTACAATAGAAAATCACTGGTAGTATCAAAATTTTGGGGTTGGCAAAAAGGACCAATAGGCCCACTTGCCGGACTTATTCCCCCCACCAGTACCAGTAGTCCTTATAATAGTGTTTTTAGTTTCAAAACTTTCTTCCAAGAAATATCTTTTCGTATTTTCCCTCACCTTGTCGTCTCACTGTGCATTCAATGTTTCAGTAATTAATTATTCATAACTAAACCACCGTCAGATCCAATGATAAAAATGAAATAATAGCATTTTTGACAAACTTAATTCAATTAACATTGTAACATTAAAACCTGCTACTATCAAACAAACAGGTTGTGTATGTGTGCACACCACAGTATAACTGCTCTCGAAACGTTTTATTAAATTCACTTTGGAAGGTTAATGTCTTTCCAATCACACATTAAAATTCTCATTGTAACGTTTCTGCCCCTCATTATTAAGCAAACTAATAGATTTGAAGTTATATCCATTTCTTAAAAAATATAATATTATAGATGAGTGAGCGGGGTAGCTCAGTAGGATTGGCACTGACTTCTTAAGCTTAAGGTTCCGTGTTCGAATACAGCTGATGGCTGATAATTCTATTTCATTAGCTGTGGATCAACCTGGGTTCGGGAAACTCTCCTGGTGCACTCCCAGCCTCTATAAACTGAGTACCCTTACCACGAGCGGATCTACGGGGAGGGGAAGAGGGGAGAAGGCTTTGGGACTGAAGCCTCCTCCCTCCAAAAAGGTAAAATATAACCATGTTTTATGGAAAATAATATTAAAAAATTATCTCTTAAAGTATTATTGTTCCTGTAATTACATTTAAAAGGACTTTAGAGATCGCTTAAACACCATTTCTTATAGGTAGTTAGTTTCTTTCTTTTTTCCCAAAGTAATTACCGTTATTCTTATGAAAAAAAGCATTCGGGTTGAAGCCTCTCCACCAAAATTAAATCCTGGATCCGCTAGTGATCCTTACTTAAATAATAGATTAAGGGAGAAAAAGACGGTGGTTGAGCTTGATCCCGGCCTGATGATCGCGCACCTGCACAACAGTTGGCCTTGAAACAGAAAATCTTTACAAAGTAATGCATTCCCTCTATATGTTTTAGTGGTATAGGTTTTATTATTTACTTATTTCAACTACAGACAGAACTGCTGTAGGGCTTCTATACAGGAACAACGACCGTATAAGTTTACCATAGAAGGTAAATAAAAATAACTCGATTACTTTTTTAACTGATCACGTATAAAATCGAGACTCAGTCTTGATGAGGTGAACAGTATTTGGGAAACTTTATTAACCCCAGGAGAGGTCAGATGGAGATTGGAATGATTAGGGCAATAAGAAAGAAGAGCCAAACAGTAGAGTATTACTACTGATGGACTGGGATCATGAGAGTCCGTGACTGAAAGTTACGAAACAGAAGCGGACTGAATTGAGACCATAAGAGCCCGAGGGTCAAGGGCCGGCGGCCGCACTCAATAATTAGCCTCATGGCGACCTCTGCTCCCGCGTCTCCGCTTCGTCACAGCTCTGTCGCTACCGGCCCTCTGGATCTATTCTATCTATAAGTGTCGATTGATTTTTTTATTTATTCATTTTATTCTATAAATTCTTTTATTTTTTTTCCATTTTTGTATTCTTATTTTTTGTACCAACCATCTAAACAGTATAAAAGTAGTGTTATTTAGTTGATAGGGCGCTGATGACCTGGATGTTTTGCGCCTCGGCATCGAAACAAACAACTCCAAGTTGCACTTTCAGGATTATCTCAGTTTGCAATTAACAGCTGATGTAACTAATTAACCTTCATAATTAGGAACATATCATCACTGGCATGACTATGGTGCTGCTTCTTACTATTTTGCGACCCACTTCAAACTTAAATTGAACAACTTACTCCAGTAACTTTAGCCCTGCTCTCCCTTATATGAAGTATGTGTAGCCAGTGTTCCAAGCGGTTTTATTTGAGTAAAATAAAAATTCTATGAGATATTGATCGTTTCATTAAATTTTAAATATCTCATAATGATATGAGATATAAAGTGAAAATTAATTTTGAAAAAACAAATGGCAGTAATTTAAATTAAAAAATAAAATAAAATAACTATACAGAAAGACTTTTTGTTCAATTACCTCCTCACCACTTCTGGCAAACTAAAGGACAGAATGAGTCTTCAGTTTAATGGCTTACCAACAAACTTTCTTTAAAATCACCGCACATGTTAAACTAGTTGATGGAAACTTACAGTACTCCTTTACTCCTGTAAGTTACACAGTTGGGTAAATAAATTGTCGGATAATTAAGAAAAGCCATTATATAACATTAAATCACAGAGAACTTTGGTGAATTTGTCCTTTGTAAAATCAGGACATTAAGCAATTGTTGTAACCATCATGTTTATTGCTAATATACTATAATTTTAATGTAATTATAATCTAGAATCGAGCCAATAAAATTAAATATCTAATAAAATGTAATAAAAAATTACAATTTTTTATGCTAATAGCCGGCTAATCGAATAAAAATTCTTGATAATTTTATTTTATCCTAATAATGGATCATTTGACTAATTAACAATTTGAAAAAATACAATAATTAATTAACTAACGGAAAAAATCGAATTAAATTAGATATTACATACAATACACATTTCATTAAATAATTACTTGTTTGTAATATTTTTTGTATATGATCAATACAAAGTATATGCACACAATATTTAATAGTATTTCAAATAATTTTAATTAGTAATATAATTAATAGTCCGTGGTGCAGAACCCTTTTTATCGAATTATTAACATCTGCCTGAAACTTTGTAAATAGTTTCATACCATCGTCACCTACAACTATTTGGGCGTACTCAATCTGGACAGGGGCAAACTTTGTCTATTTAATTTGGTACTAAACACTTGTAAATACCCATTTGCTTTCTACTTCGATCGAAAGATAATTTGATCACAAAATCGAGAAAATATGTGGCCTTTAAAAATATTGAGCAGTTTGACGTGACCTACACCCCCAAATTTTCAAAATAATAAAGTTATATTGGATAAACGGCTCAATATTTCTGTAGGCAATGTTTTTTATCGGTTGTGTGCTCAAATTATCTTACGATCCAAATGGAAAGCAAATGGGTATTTACGAGTTTTTAGTACCTAATTTTTTTTTTTTTTTTTTTTTTGATCATTTGTTTATTAATAAATATTACAACCTCTCTCAATAAAAGACATTTATAATAGAGTTCAGAGAGCACATTCACACCATATTTACAAAATCAAAAAAATAAATAAATAAGGTGATTTCAAAATAATATAAAGCTAAAAAAGAACAAAATAAAATATCGTAGACAAAATAAAATATCATAGACAAAATAAAATATCATAGTAGTACCTAATTAAATAAACAAAGTTTGCCCGTTTCCAGATTGAAAACGCTCCAATTCCAAGAGTTTTCCTAGATAAAATAGTTGTAAGTTACGATGAGATGAAATTATTTACAAAGTATCAGGCAGATGTAATAATTCGATAAAACGGGGGCCGGACCACAGACTATAATTTTATTGGATCCATTTCAAAATCAACTGATGATAGCCCGGCAGTCTAAACAATTTTCAAATATAAAAATTTTGTGTGATGATGTTGTTTTTCCAGTCTCAGAAATTCCTAGTTGAAGTAACATAATACAAATGTTATAAAGTAGTTGCAGAATATTGTATACTGATGAACAAACTTAAATTCCTGTGAAAACTAAGTAATTGTACCCGATAGTTTGAACAAAAAAAATAATTTAAATTCTATATTTTTTTTTATAAAACATTTTGTGTTTGGAACGTTGGGTATTTCAAAAACGAAATATCCACTATGTAACACTAAAATGGTCTTACTAGGTCAATTAACTAAATGACGTAACAATAGAAGGCAAGCTAAGCAAAACAATATTTATTGATTAGTTCAAATACTCCATTGTTTAGCAGATTATTGCTTCTTAAAATCGAACTCGGCTTCATAATTATAAACTTTTTTCGACATTGAGATCAGTTTAGTTTTGACTCAGAAAGTGTACAATCAAAAATGGAATGTGAATTACCACTAATTGTAAGCCAACATATTCACCAAAATACCTGTCTTTAGAACATAACCGATTATTAGTAAAGTATCGCTACTCGAACATGCTTCGAATTTGTTTGGGTCTTATAATTAATTGGTTGTAGATTTGGAAACACTACATCTAATACAAACAAGGAATTTCTAATCTGAAAATTTCTTTTAACTTTCTGCCACAAATAAAGTTCCGATTTCACACTTTGACAAATATAACTATGACGTATTATAAACACAGATTACCGCTCACACTAAACAGGTCCTATGAGTTATGTTTGCCCTCCCTAAACTTGTACTAGCCTCTAAGGGCCCGCTCCTAAAATAGTCCGGTCGAGTACCAAAGACCATTAATTATATCTTTATCTGAGCCTATATGCCTGGGTGTAAACAGCCTCGCCTCCTCGCTTTTTTTATCAACTTTTTCTTTTTCTTTTCTCTTTTTTTTTTTTTTTTTTTTTTGTTGGAGGGGATTACTCCTGCCCCCTCCCTCCAGATCTCTTCTACAGATAATATTCAATCCCCTCCTGTTTGAAAAGTGTCCCTGTCAGCCATATATCATCGCTTTGAATTTTAAACAGTTGTACCAGAAACTACAGCCTAGTTTCCCAAACTTCAAATAGTATTAACTTCAAAAAATTAAGTTATTAAAGCCTAAGTAATTAACAAAAAAAAAAAAAAAAAATGAGTAACAGAGTTCCATCTCTAAAGTCGTATTTTCCTCTCACCTTGGTTTGAAAAACATAGTGACTTAATTGTTTTATTAATTCTTATTTGAGGAAATTTATATTGTAGGCAGTCCCTCATACTATCTTCTTATAAAAGCCCGGATTTTCACACAATTACTACAAACCATGTCTTTACAAGCCAAATCTTTACAAACCATGCATATTTTACTGTTATTTTTTTGCATATTATATGGAATATTCATCAAACTTCTACTGCATAAAAATTCTGGCTATGGTTGTTTCTAATTAATACTGTTAGAATTAGAATTCAGTTATTGTTTTTTTACATTTACCATGATATTTAAACTTTTCCGATTCTTGATACTACAATTTATTATATATATATATATATATATATTATAGAGTTTTAATATAATTTTAATTTGGTTTTAGTGATTTTTTCAATTTTTTTTAGCTTTAATTTTCTTAATTCAAATTTATTTGTACAAATAAAATTCATTACCTTCAGTTCTTTTAAGCCACTAAAGACGAATTACTTAAAAGCAGAGATAATGAGGTTAATCGATTTAATCATACTTTCGTTATCTGTAATCCGACTTAAACCTTTTTAGTGGAGTGAACCAATTAGTAGTAGCTGCATTCAATTATCTATTTTTATTTGACCGATTAATACAGTCTGACTATTAGTGAAGTATAAAGGGGTTCCAAGTCCTTATCCAGCAAACTCTGGAAAAACACTAAATTTAGATAAATAATAAAAAAAAATCTGGTGAACACATTTAGCAAAATAAAAATTAATAATAACAATAAGAAAAATAGTTATAAAAAATTAAACAAAATATAATATTAAATATGATGAAAACATTCAAGAAAACCTTTTCTAAAATTGTGTTATTATAGGGTTAGAAAATCACGATGGAATGTAATAAACCATGGTTTAAATTAAATTTTATAAATTGATAAATACATTTATAAATTAAATTATATATATATATTTATATAAATTAAATAAATAAATTTTTAAGAGCGAAACCAAGTAGAATCAACAAATAAAGTTTATATTTTATTATAAAGTACTTCGGTCTGAATATCATGTTTTTTTTCCCTACCCCTCAGGAATTTCTTTATTACAAAGTACAATATATACATGTTATATATACATAATTTTTTTTTATTTCCTTTTATTGCCCAAGGGCATTTTAAGGTAAGAGTGCCCTATGCACGCTGTATGCGTACTTTGCATCTGTGGCCAGAGACTGAATATCATGAAATAAATCGCTACATTTTGTTATGTGTATTATAAAAGACGTTCTTGGGAAAGAGACTATAATAAACATTAGTAAAAGAAGTCTCAATAATATCCCACATTCCCAATTTCAATGAATGGATTGGTCTTGCAGGACCAGTGGCTTGGCCTGCACGCTCACCAGACCTGACAACACTGGATTTTATTTGCTTAGGGTGACATTAAACAAAATGTCTATGCTAGTCCGGTCAATAACTTGTTTTGGAGTCCATTGTTCGTTTTTGCAGTTTGGCCAATTTTCTCTGAAACACTCAGTATAATTTTTCTTGCAAAATTTTCAACAAGTTTGATTTATAATTTTTTTTCTTAATTTTATTGACCAAAATTATAAGTTACTGAAGATTAAAAACTGTTTAATATGAATTCTTTAAAAAAAAATTATTTTCTGAGAGATTTAATTATTCTAAAGATTCGATAATAAGGACTGGATATTCATACACAACAATTATTTACAAACTGAGTGTGGATTTTTTTTTTTTTAATCAATAAACATTGAAGAATTTAAAGTGCTCAAAATTTAATATTTTTATTAAACTCCTACATTAAATATATATGGAACCCTGGATTAACTAAATGTACAAAAATAAAGATTGAAATAGCTATTTTATGATTCGTTGTGTGTCCACCATGAATAATAAATCTTATTGAAGGCCACCAAAATGAATAAACAAAAGGAGACGAAATTATTCGCCTTGAAAAACTGTCGAAATACAAACAAACCATGACAATTACAGAACATCCGTAACGGTCGGAAGCCACATTGCCAATGCAAAGGAAACTATGGAAAATATTTAATTGTATGATGGAAAAGAGTTTCTAAAAATCCTTCGTAGCACGTTACAAGGGTTTTAGTTCAGCATCCATTGATCGCATTAATTGTGTAATATGTAAAGTAATTCATCGATATTTCATAATACATTGAAGAGCTGTGATTCATAAATTTAATATTAAAATTAAAACAATATATGAAATTACAAAAACTAAACATATGTCTATAAACATCAACAAAATTGTCAGCTACATTCTAATATTTTAATCAATAAATATGTTGACAATCAAACGAACATAAAAAAAATATACCTATATAGCAAAATTGAAATTTTTCATCCTTGTCATACTAATAACAATTAAAATTATTTTATATAGGTTAAAGAAATAGTTAGGCTAT